TGATGTATGTTTAATGCTAAATAAGTATCAGTTATAAAATTTGAGGTCACCTATGGGCGGAGGAATTGGTAGGGATCATGAAGGTCACTTTCTTGGCCGATGGAAACTTTCTATATCCTGATTGGGATGTTGGTTACTCAGATGTATACTTTTATTAAAGCTCATCACATTATACACTTAAGATCTATGCATTTCACTATATGTAAATTTTACCTAATTTGTTTCTTTTTAATGAAAACTTAGAAACAGCAGAGTAAGACCCATTAGGCAGGCCTTTCTTTGTCTTGTGGCACTTGAGTTATTTCCAAAGGTGGATCCTAAAAATACAGCCCAATATCCATGGGATTTTTGTTGATGTTGCTGGGGGGTTGGGGGCGGGAATAGATTCTGCTCAGTGATGTCCTTTGCTATTATTATCAGTGCCCTCTGGTTCCTTTTGTACAATTGGTACTCCTGCTAGGGCTGCTACTACTGAAATTCATTTTCAGTAGAGTTTCCTGGGCTCTTTCCAAAGGCTTCCAAAAAAGTGCCGTTTTTACTCTCCCAGGGTACACTCTCTTTCACATTGTGTGACCCCAAAATGGGGGTTCCTCTTGACTCAAGTACTGCATCAAGGAGTTGGATGTAGAAGCCAATTATTAGTTTCCTGGTTGGTTTGTCCTGTTAGTCTGGCTGCTATCCCTTCCCCCATCCTGTAGCCTGCTCATTTTCTCCCTTGGCTCTTTCTCAGGAGCAATGGGCAGCAGCTGGGCCTTCCACGTCCTGGCACGAGTCAGGCTAAGAGTGCCTGAAGTCTAAATTGGTGCCAGTCACGAGCTATGAAGCCTGACTACATTGGACTTTTCCCTACTCCAGTACTGGGTGAGCTCAGCTCTAAGACCACAGACTTATTGGGAACTTGAAGTTTAGGAGCTTTCTCAAGCTTATTTTATGTTAGCCAAATTCCTGTGTTGGCGAAAGCGGATTCATTAATTAAGTCCTTCATTTAGAGCTAGATAGGCTTTTGGAAGTAATTCCCTGATTGCCATACTTGAACTAGAACTCCTCTGTACTAACTAAACTCTTAGGAACATTTTGCTCCATTGCCCTTGAAAATATATCCTAAAAAACTGTTAGATCTCTGAGTTATTTTTTTACTGTTAAAATTTCATTTTTTAAAAATAAGTAATATATTCATATGGTACAACATGCAAAAGGTACAAAATGAGAAGTCTCTCTTCCACCTCCCTTCCATGAATCTCACTGTGTAACTAGTATGCAGCATTCTCATTGAAGGACTGGGGCACAAAAGGAGATGACCCAAGTAACATTTTTTGTCTGGAAACTGTAAAATTAAACTCTGCTCATAAATTTGTTTCTCAGAGGGTTGTTGTTAAGTGCCTTCTATCCCAACTCATAGCAATCCTGTTCCAAGGAGTGTCTTGTTGGTTTGAACCATCAACCTTGCTGTTAGCATTTCATTGCTTATCCTACAGCACCATACCAGTACTTCCCTCACAGGGTTGTTGTTGTTAAGTGCCTTCCAGGCAGTTCTGACTCTTAGCGATCCTGTATAGAGTTTCCTAGGAGCATTTGATGAGTTTGAACTGCCAACCTTGAAGTTCACCTTGTTGTCCAATGTATTATCCTGCAGCGCCACACCAGGGCAATTCTGGAAGTACTAGGGGTAAACAAATAAATAGATCATAAGAAAGAGAGGAGTCCTGGTGGTGCTGTGGGCTAATGCACTGGACTGCAAAGTCGTTTGAACTGCAATGTCAGCAATTCAGATTTACCAGCCACTCCTCTGAAACCCTATACAGGGTCCTGTGGGGCAGAACCAACATGATGGCACTTAACAACAGCAGCAATAAGGAGTAAGGAGTTCTAGTAGCGTAGTGGTTGAGTCAGGCTGCTAATCTGACGGTCAGCAGTTCGAAATGCCCAGCATTTCCATGGGAAAAAGATGAGGCTTTTTGCTCCTGTAAAGATTTACAGCCTTGGAAACCCTGTACAGGGTCACTGTGAGTCAGAACTGACTCCACGGCATAGCACATAACTACAAATAAAGGAGTGAAGTAACTCTGGAGGCCTGGTGTAGTGCTGTGGCTTAACGTGCTAGACTGCAAGGTCAGTTTGAACCTCATGGTCAGTGGTTCAAGCTCACCAGCCACTCCTTGGAAACCGTACATAGGGTCGATGGCACTTAACAACAACAACGGTGGCTCTGTAGGATAAACTCTGGGCTGCTAAGGACAAGGTCTACAGTATGAGCCCACCAACCACTCCATTGGAGAAAGATGGGGCTTTTAGCTCCCGTCAAAATTTACAGCCTTGGAAACCTTGTTGTTGTTCACTCAGGTCTGTTCCCACTCTAGTGACCCCATATAGAGTTTCTAAGGATCAGTTAATAGGTCTGAACCACCAACTTTGTGGTTAGCAGTCCAGTGCTTATTCTACAGTGCTATACCAGAACTTCTATACAGGGTGGCTATTGAATTACTTACCACTTAACAACACCTCAACAGCACTTAACAACAATGAAATGAGAACCATGTTTCTAATTGTCAGAGAAGAAAATAACAAGAGGGGAGAGCCAGAATGAATCCTGTGGTGGTGGGTTAGAGTTGGAGATTTTATTATGAATGTATGTTTAATTTAATATACATGAAGGTAAGTCAAAAAGTATTGTTAGGAAATCATAGAAACCTTTATTTAACAAAAATATGAAAACCATGAAGCTCTAGTTTTTCAACATGTCCTCCATTTAGGTCTAAACCCTTCAGAAGGCAGTGCTTCTGTCTCTCTAACCCTTCTCCAAATAAGTCTGTGCTCTTCGATTTGCACCACGTCACCAGCAGTTTTGGTATCCTCAAGGGACTGAAACCATGTTTTTTTGTTTTAAGTTTTTATTGTGTGAATTGAGTGAAACTATATAGGGCAGATCATCAGTTTTACATTCAACAAATCATACCCCTTGTTTCATTACAATGATTATAA